CTCTCTGTTGGCCTGTACATGACCTTTTAGTGCTGTAAAAGATGCTACAGTAAATCCTGGATCAGCTGTGCGGATGGTGTGACTGTGTGGTAAAGCTTTGTTAAAGTTGTCATGCACATACTCATATGTCTTTGGAGAGTAAAAGTGCAGTGTGATGGCAAACTGCTTATAAAATATAAAATAGTATTTTATTGGTGAGGTGCCCCAATCAAAGCGTCCTACAGAGTAGCAGCAGCTTTAGAGGGAGGAGACGAGCGCATTATGGAGAGGAGTGCACCGGAGGGGGCAAGCTGGGGGAGAGACACACAACCGGAGAAAAAGGAAATCCCCAGTTTAAAATATAATGTTGGTGAGAAGAGGGAAACAGGACGACATAAATGTCCATGTTGAAATTCTTTTGAATACAGAGGCTGTGGATGTTCAGTTTTCTTTGGCTATAAAAAGGCAACAATAGCCTGTAGTTTAATCATGGTGTTTCTCTTCGTTAACGATTATTGAAGCGAAATAAAAAATAAATGCATGACATTTAAAACATATTAACATGTGTGGGGAAAAACGCGATCTTTATGTCTTCTTTTATTGTGCCTGTCTCCTCCTAACTACCATAACAGCAGCATGTTGTGTGTAACACTGGTCTCCTGGGTTAACACCTTCCTTTCAAAGGTGATAAATACAGACACAGTCACAATCACCGCAATGTTTGTCAGGTTTTGTCAATTTTTAGTACAAATTCTCAATGAGTGTCATAAAATTTACAATATGATCAACTTGTGACTGTTGAATTGGTCGTGTGTGGAAGACAATGCAGAATATTCATCACGTTTAAGTAGCATGATGCTCGTTAATATTACATCACACCGCGCCGGTTGTTGATGTTTGCACTCACGTTTCGGTTAGTCTCTTAAATCAGTAACAGTTATATTAAATCACATCTTACCTTTAGTTTTATCTGGATACATAGAGAAATTTCTACCCTTGTATATAGTCCTATTAATTTCAGCCTGCATGGTGAAAGTAAAACCTGTTACTCTCGGTACAGCCCACTTATCACTCAGACTGTAAACATGTACACATAAGTAATGATGCAGGCCAGATTACAATTATGTGACTTTGTTTTTGCCCTAGATGCCCTAGAAAACTGAACAGAAAATTCAATGGCGTCTCGGCTTTCCTTCACTACGTAACTTTTGTTATTCAAAAAAGGTCACTATAGCTGTAATTCTGAATCCAACTGTAGTTATACCATAGGTACTGTGTCTGTCCCCCGGCCCAGACCCGTTTTTATAAGTCATCCAAACGGCGTAAATCGTCAAAATCTCATCAGAATCAAGACAACGAATACGATTTTGCTAAAAAATCAGAAGATTCACTGCAGACTTTTGAACATTAGGTCCTTAGCATCCAAATCTCTTTTAGTGAAAGATCTGATATCAGATCAGCATATTGATTTACTTTTTTTGACTGAAACCTGGCTGTGTCAAGATGAATATGTTAGTTTGAATGAATCCACTCCTCCCAGTCATTTTTGTACTCATATACCTCGAGACACCGGACGAGGTGGTGGAGTAGCAGCTATTTTTAATTCTGGACCCTCGACCAAAGCTGAATTTTTCTTCTTTTGAAAGCCTCGTTCTTAGTTTTTCACATCCAGTCTCAAGAACCTTTCAGCCAGTTCTAGTTGTTGTAGTTTACCGTCCTCCTGGCCCATATTCTGAGTTTCTATCTGAATTTGCAGAATTTTTATCAGATTTAATCCTTAGCAGTGATAGAATAATTGTTGTAGGTGACTTCAATATCCATGTGGATGTTGATAATGATAGCCTGAGCACAGCTTTCATGTCACTATTAAACTCTATTGGTTTCACCCAGGGTGTAAACAAACCTACTCATCGTTTCAACCACACCCTGGATCTTGTTTTAGCTTATGGCATTGAAATCCATAACCTTACAGTTTTCCTGGAAAATCCTCTTCTATCAGACCATTTCCTTATTACATTCGACTTTGTCCTACCAGAATTATCTCTGCTTGGAAGAGGTGTGCTCTCTAGAAGTTTGTCGGATAGTGCTGTGGCTAGATTTAAGGAAGCTATTTCAGCTGCTTTTGATTCAGTACCGTGTTTCAACCCAGTTGGAAACTCTTATGATAGCTTTAGTCCCTCTCAGCTAGATCAGTTTGTTGATAGTGCAGTGGATTCGCTGAGAGTTACTCTGGATTCGATTGCTCCCCTGAAACAGAAGGTTGTCAAGCGGCGGAGAGTGGCTCCATGGTTCAACTCAGAAACCCGTACTCTAAAACAATCGTCACGGAATTTTGAAAGAATGTGGCGCTCGACCAAAACGGTAGAATCTCGTTTATTCTGGCAGGATAGTCATAGAAGATATATGAAGACTCTACGTCACGCTCGAGCTGCCTACTACTCCTCTCTAATCGAGGAAAACAAAGGCAATCTTAGATACCTTTTCAGCACTGTAGCCAGGCTGACAGAGAGTCATGGCTCCATTGAGCCTTGTATTCCTCTAGCCCTCAGCAGTAATGATTTCCTGAGCTTTTTCAACAACAAAATTCTAGACATCAGAGACAAAATTGGTAACCTCCTGCCCTTACCTGCTGCGGACACATCTGATACGGCAGAGACAGTTCCAGGACCAGATATTAGTCGCGACTGTTTTTTTCCAATCAACCTTTCAGAGCTATATTCCATTTTTTCTGCATCAAAACCGTCAACCTGTCTTTTGGACCCAATCCCAACCAAGCTGTTTAAGGAAGTTTTTCCCTTAGTTAGCAACTCTATATTAGTTATGATCAATTTGTCTTTACTGGCAGGCTATGTAGCCCAGGCATTTAAAGTAGTGGTAATCAAACCTCTACTTAAAAAGCCTACTCTGGATTCAGGAACTCTGGCTAACTACAGGCCTATATCCAACCTTCCTTTTTTCTCGAAGATCCTGGAGAAGGTGGTAGCTAAACAGCTGTGTGACTTTCTCCATGACAACAGTTTATTTGAGGAGTTTCAGTCAGGATTTAGAGCCCACCATAGCACTGAGACTGCACTAGTTAGAGTTAAAAACGATCTTCTTCTAGCTTCAGACAGGGGACTTCTGTCTGTGCTCGTCTTGTTAGATCTTAGTGCTGCCTTTGACACCATTGACCATCGGATCCTGTTGTACAGACTGGAGCATTTGCTTGGAATTACAGGTACTGCTTTAAGTTGGTTTGAATCCTACTTATCAGACCGATCTCAGTTTGTACATGTTAATGATGAGTCCTCTATGCACACTAAAGTTTGCCATAGAGTCCCACAAGGTTCAGTGCTTGAACCAATTCTCTTTACATTATACTATATGCTTCTGAGGAAACACTCCATACAGTTTCATTGTTATGCAGATGATACTCAGCTGTATGTATCAATGAAGCCCAATGGCACCAGTCAGTTATGTCAGCTAGAAACGTGCCTTAAGGACGTTAGGACCTGGATGACCAGAAATTTTTTGCTGCTTAACTCAGACAAGACTGAAGTTATTGTGCTAGGCCCTAAGAACCTCAAAGAGACTTTTTCTAGTGATTTGACTGTCCTTAGTGACATCAGACTGACATCTAGCATCACTGTTAGTAATCTAGGAGTTCTTTTTGATCAAGATATGTCTTTTAGCTCTCACATCAGACAAGTTTCAAGAACAGCCTATTTTCACCATCGTAATATATCCAAGATCAGGAATATCCTGTCGCAAAATGATGCAGAAAAACTAGTTCATGCATTTGTTACCTCCAGATTGGATTATTGTAACTCTCTTTTGTCAGGGTGCTCTGGCAAGTCTCTAAAGACTCTTCAACTGGTCCAGAATGCTGCAGCTCGTGTACTGACCAGAACCAGGAAATGGGACCACATCAGTCCTGTCCTGGCTTCTCTGCACTGGCTCCCTATACAGTCTAGAATAGAATTCAAGATCCTTCTTCTCACCTACAAAGCTCTAAATGGCCAGGCACCATCCTATCTTAAGGAGCTACTAGTGCCGTACTGTCCCTCGAGAGCGTTGCGGTCCCGGAGTGCAGGCCTGCTGGTGGTACCTACAGTCTTTAAGTGTACTATGGGGGGTAAAGCCTTCAGTTATCGGGCTCCTCTCCTCTGGAACCGCCTTCCAGCCAGGGTCCAGGAGGCAGACACTGTCTGTATTTTTAAGAATAGACTTAAAACTTTCCTTTTTGATAAATCTTATAGTTAGTGCTGGTGTAGACCAGCTCTTAGTTATGCTGCTATAGGCTTAGACTACCGGGGGAACTGGCACCTTGAGCTCCCCTCTCTCTCTCTCTCTCTCTCTCTCTCTCTCTCTCTCTCTGTGCATATACAGTACATCATATTACTGCATGTATGTATCTGTAAATCTCAGTCACTAACCACCTACTTTCCTGAGAGCTCTTGAGCTCTCTTAGGCTCCTCAAGATCGTTGGTTGACGGCCTGCCAGAACAGAATTGAATTCACAAAGAGAGCTACGCAAGATCGGCGGCTGTCAATCATCGTCAAATATGACGTAAAATCCCATTTTTCAACCTCAAATAACTTATTTAAAACAAACTTCACAGAAAAATGAGCAGTTGAACACAATGTAGGGTGATAATAACTAATGATCACAGCAGAGTTTAGGTTTGGAAAAAAATTATGTGACGAGTATTTTAGCTTTACAGTTTGACCCACATCCCATCTGTTATCATTGAGGAGGCGGGGTTTATGACCTATACTGCAGCCAGTCAGTAGGGGGAGCTCTAAAAATAAAAGCTTCACTAGACCGGGGACCTTGTCCCGTCCATTATTTTTACAGTCTATGGTTGTCACCAGAAAAGAGATTTTAAAAGTATAGCTGCATGTCTGCAGATATACCTGTGAGTCAACTACGATGAGAGATGGATGAAAAATACATATATGTCTCTTACTGCAACAGCTGGGCAGAAGAAGGATGAGAACATGTTTACAACTGATTGTCTTCTTCTTGTGTTTTTCTGCAGGTACGAAAGGATCATGTGGCTCCAATCTACGTCATCAACCTTCTCATTTCTTACCTCATTCAGATCTGCCGCATGCTCAGTCTGGAGATAAATTAGCATCAGTCTCGTGCCATCGTAGATTATATTTACTGTAGTGGCCTAATGACCAGTGTTTGCTTCATGGTGTGTGTCTTACTGGAAAGGTAACTATACGTCCTATAGCTACGTCTGTTTCTGACTTTAATATTTCTGACTTATTCTGCACCTCCTCAAAGACAATGTGTCCATCTTTTATTGCAGATATTTGGTCATCACCCACCCACTGTGGTACCGCTTCAAACGAACCATCAAGATCTCTGTGGTGGTCAGTGTCATGGCCTGGCTCATTCCTCGTGATATTTTACTCCTTCTTTTTCTCTTCACTGTGTTTCTCTGGAATGCTGTTTATGTGATAATTAGCGTCATCATCATTTTCCTCATCATTCTCTTCCTACTGTTCATATTATTCCTGGTTGGGACCCTCAGAGCCCTCTCTGCTTCCGTCTACGTCCCCTTTGAAGAAAAATGTCAAAATGTTGTAATTTTGGTCATGGTGCTGCTCATTTATACTTATTTGCTGTTCCTGCCTATCATGATTGTCGTTCTTCTCATGAACATGTACATATTTGACCGAACTCTGGGTGTCTTATCTCTCATGTTGTTCACCTGAGCCCTCTTGCAGACTTAATTCTGTATGTTTTCTTGAGAAAAGAGTCCATTGGAAAGCTTTGTACCGCTGTGAACTGGTGCAGAGTTGCCAACGCTGACACCAACATATAGACAGTATGAATGTGGACAACATTTTGACATTGAGCTCCATGGAGGAAGAGAGAATGAGGAGAAAACAGACCAAAATGTTCTCTCAGTTTAGAACAAATGTATTTCTTACAAAACTGTATTTCTTAAGCTATGTTGTTCTTCTTGACAGTTAAATACACTTTCTACTCTTCTTAACTTTCTAATCTTCTGATCAATAAAAGCTTTACTTGTGCAGTTCAAGTGGTTAGCATGTCAGCTTTTAGGATGTGAGAGAAGGTCCTTTTTATTGTAAATTTGACAAAATGAAATATTATATCACAGTCTCACTCATAACATTTTAATAATACTATGACATTCAATAAATAAAAATCTGTTTCAAGACAAAAACAGGAAGTTATTGACTTATTAAAATCTAACAAACATGACATTTTGTGAAGCTCACTGTGTGTTTACCTTTTATAAACTTTGACTATGCCTAGTTAAGATCCAACAACAACGCTAAATGTCAAGAACATTTCTCATCATGTCAGACTTTTTATTTCAACAACTTGACTTCTGACAAGCTTTTTGGATAACTGAAAGATATCCCCACAGTGACATTAAGAATGACGGTAACACTTTACAATAAGGGTACATTAATTAACATTAGTTAAGGCATTATTAAGCCTTAACTAATGGTTACTAACAGTTAACTAATGTGTCTAGTAATCATTTATTAAGGGTGTTCATGTTAACTACGTTATTAATTAATACATTATTTAATCCTTATTAAGGATGCTATTAACATTAGTTAATGCAGTAATAAGCCTTAATTAACAGTAAATTCATACAATAATGAACATTAAGAAACCCTTAACAGATGTCTCTTGTTACCATTAATTAAGGGTTTACATGTTAATTCAGCCTATTAACTAATATTACTAAATGGTTGATAAAGATGTTCATTTAGATACATGTCTTGAGGTTCACAGCTAAGTCATGTCATTAAGACAAAAATGTTTTTATTAATGTTTATTAAAGGTTCACTTACTCGTCCATCCTCCAACTGGTGACTTATTTTTGGTAAAGGTTGAGATCAGTGGACCATGGTCTTCATGTAAACATTAGATTGTTCCTTTATCTTCATGTAGACGTTCTTAACTTACAGCCTAACCTATCATCATTATTGTTGATGTTATAAGCATTACTAAACCATAATTAACCATTTATTAATGCTCTGAATAAGCATTACTTAACCATGATTAACATTTATTAATGCTCTGAATAAGCCTTACTTAACCATAATTAACCATTTATTAATGTTCTGAATAAGCTTTACTTAACCATAATTAACCATTTATTAATGCTCTGAATAAGCCTTGTAAATTTGAATCAATCACAGAGCTATTAAACTTCAGTGAAACATTAACAAATCGAATACAATCATCATGACAACCATCTCTTTTCCACACTTATTCAAAATTTTTAAAAGATAGCAACTTTTTACTTCATGCTCAACATCCTTTATTTAGAAAATGTAAGAATTTTAGTGTTCTTTTAAATGAATAGCAAAAAGGAGATTTAACAGTTTCACTGTATTTCTCACAGACGTGCCCCTTGCATCTTATTTTGAAAACAACATTTTCAACTGAAAGTAAAGAGTCTCCAAGAGGAGTTAACCATATAGAACATGTTTTTTAATGATCTCTAAGATTAAGACCTAATTCACTTCAACATGAACACCAAAACAGAATACCTCCACAAGGTGGGTTTAAGAGAGGGTGAGGTGGGGTTCCTACAAGCGGTACCTATGCCTTGGGTCCTTAATTAATATTCCCAAAGGACCATCTTTGTGACAGTTTGCTACCCAGTAGGTCCACTCAAATAGTGAGAGATGATCTTTTAGCAGGGCCTCTGTCCAAGTCCCTCTTCATCACCATGCCTTCTCCTATAAGGCAACTGCTCTCTCCAGGTTGTGTATGGCTGCCTGTCACTGGGTCAATAAACCACCAATGGTGGTTGATAGAAAAGTGTCTGTATACATACACTTCTGTAGGTTGTAGGCTGTAGGCTGAGGATGGTGATTCTTGGATGTAAATGGCATAAAATGAGTGACTTCTGTTGAAGCGACTCTCACTTGTAATGGCTCTGGACAAAATGAAACATGAAAAGAAAAGATTAAGACTAAGAATAAGTAAAGTGAAGTACATATTGATGCATCTTTATGATTCCCCAGATTGTCCTGTAAATAATAGATGTATATTACAGTGTTGCGCGTTACTCTGTTAATACATGCCTTCTTACTGAAGGAGACCAGGCAAAAAAATGAAGAGAAAAATGTCTTAGATCTCAGGGGGTTGATTATTTTATTGATGTAATTATATCATAAATTACATATATATCATGTTATAAACAACATCAACAATGTTCCAACGTTTGTGAAATACCGTTTGACTGTAAAACAATACAAAGTGGATGATGATTATTGATGCTCAGGATTATTTAAAGCCTCAGTCCAAAAAAACAAGTTTCCTTTTTTAGAGTTTTGGTTTGTCGTCACACACACACACACACACACACACACACACACACACACACACACACACACACACACACACACACACACACACACACACACACACACACACACACACACACACACACACACACACACACACACACACACACACACACACACACACACACACACACACACACACAGAGAAATAACAACAATAACAAGTACAAGCAGGAGAGAGAGCGTGGCTGTGATGTGATCTCAAAGTTTTGATCGGAGAAGGCGACTGCCAGTACAAATCTTTAAACTTCCAATAACTTTTTTCTTTCAATTATCGCCTCAAAAGTTACTCTTTAGGGTTGCCTGTGGCCTAGTGGTTAGTGCCCGTGCCCCATGTACAAAGGCTGGAGTCTTCCAAGCAGGCAATCTGGGTTCAAATCCAACCTGTGGTTCCTTCCCTGCATGTCATTCCCCTCTCTCTCTCTTTCTACCCTCTGTCTGTTGGATATTATATGAACTCAATATGAAGACAAAGACATTTTATTATAACAGGAAGTCATGTAGTAGAAAGGAAAGTAACCTTTATCATTAAACACATGACATCCTCATCAGTTCAGTGGCTGGAGTTTGGACATGTCACTGACCGGATTGACCAGCAGAGGACAGCAGAGGTGGTCTGATGTGGCGGCAGCGTGTGGGGGCGTTTAAGATGTGTTTCATATGTGCTCAGTTCTGGTCACACGCTCTTATTTCCATCCCTCATTTTAATTATAGCTGATGTTGCTTTCTCTGTTTTAGCTCCACTCTCTGGAATCAGATCCCACAATCCATCAGGTCTAATTGAGTCTTCAGCGATTAAAAAGTTTGACTTACTTCACATGAGACTCAACAACAAAGATCCTAAAGGACCCGCTCTGCAGGTCAAACCATCACCTGTGATCATGCTATTTGATACACAGACCTCATCTTGAAGTGCATCTTCTTTAGACTCCTCTGAATCTTTCCACAGAGAAAACATTGAAATCTGGTGTTTTCTGCTGACAGCTGTTGTTTTCAAAGCAGGGCAGCATAAAGGGATTCAAATATTCATGCATCTGTTGCACATAAATATGTCAACAAGTATCTGTCGAGGGAATTCTTTTCTATATCCTGAATAAAAGTGTGAAGTGTCTCCTCTCGTCTCGTTTGTCTTCTCTGAGCTCTGCTGGTTTACACTCGCCTTCGGGGTCCGCCGCGTCCCGTTCTCCACAGATTGAATCCCCTCGGGCAGCGGAGTGTCTGCAGTGTGCACGCTCAACTAGAAGAGGACAAGTGGAAAAAACACACAGCTGAGTAAGCACATCTGAAAGACGAGAGGTCGAAGCAGACCCGAGAGGAAAAGAAAAAAAAAAACTCAATACAGGAAAAACAACTTTGAAGATATTTCTCCTAAACACAACGTTTGACAGGATAAACTGAACGTCCACTTCTGGAGCAAACCACTTCAGTCTTAATCTCAGGTCTTAATTCAACCAATATAAAACCTTTCTTTAAGTTATTTTAGTCCTTTCCTTTATGAGACAGGACAGCTGAAAGAGAGAGTGAGAAGGGGATGACATGCAGCAAAGGGCCGAGGTGAGATTCAAACCTTTGGGCCGCTGCAACGAGTACATGAGTACCCTCTGTACCTCAACCACCCGATACGTGAGCAGTGTCCTCCTTAAGCATATCAGTCTTAAACAACCTGTCATCGTATCCAGTGAACGCAAACATCCTCGCTTTAGAATCTGTCAAATATAACTTTGCATGAAGGCAGCTGTTTCTTTACTCACACTTACACACATCGGACTTCTTATTTCAAACGTGTTTATATTTCCTGCTTTTATTTGAACTTAAAACTTAACCTTGAACTTTGACCTCTTCTACTTTCACTGTGTCTCATCAAGTCAAATTCATGTTCTTTAAGTTGAAAATTGATCCAGAGACTTTCTAAAGTGCGTTGGGCTTCTTTCGATCGGTGCAGAAAAAAAACACCTCACAACGTACTGCCACTTTAAGTGCAAGAGTTTAAGCTCCTTTTATTTCACTCTGAGATATGTGGAGTCTGACCCTCAGTGCTCCGTCTCATAATACCTTAAAGGCTTTTAAGGTTGGGTTGGTCATTTTCTTAAACTAGCATGATTTTGAAAGTAGCATTCTCTCAGTGCTCCGTATGTACACCCCCTCCCCTCTGTGCTCCCTCATAAGCCACGCCCCCTCACTTACATACAGAGCGCAGTCCCTCCAGAAGTGGACCTCAGCTCATCTCTTACATTGTGGAGAAACTACGTCGTTTCATGTCTCATTCAGCGGTAAGTTAACTCACAATGGCCCTTTCCTAATGGTCACAGTTCAGTATGCAGTGCGTACAAAATGATCAAAGGGAATGCTTCAGAACGCTGCAGGGTTGTCAGTGGAGGGCTCCTCAGCAGGTCCGGGAGAAGAGAGTCTATGTAAGAGGTTTCACTGTAGAGGCTTGAAGCCGTCTGGTGAAGTTCTTGGTTTCATATCGGGGAACTATGGTGTGATTTGCAGAACAAGTCGTTTAGCGCCCTCTGCAGACTCATCCTGGGATTACTCCGACATTTGTTTACCTCATCTGAAACTTTGCCCAGGTTTAGTTTGAGCATCCAGCATCGTAACACTAAATGAGAGTTAATGACAGTGATGTAGAACTCAAAATCAGTCTTGGTCTTCAGACCAGCTTGAGACCACCTTTTGAAGGTCTTGGTCTTCTCTTGGACTCCAAAGCATTTGTACTCGGTCTTGACTTGGTCTCAGACTGGGCACATCTGGATTTTAAATAAAGATCGGTCAAGACCACCAGCAATCGGCTATTTTTCCATCATTACTGTGATTAGAAGGAAAACACCTCTTTCTAAAAAAAAAAAAAAAAAAAAAAAGTAAATTCATTTGTAGTTTGAATTTTAACGCCCAGTTACGGCTGCAACTTTTCCGTTGGTACAGTCAAAGTGAGGGACACGCCCCCTAAACACAAGATGATGATTTTTCACTGATGTTTATGGTCTAGGTCTTGTCTCAGTCTCGATCCCTCAATGTCTTGGTCTTGTCTCAGTCATGGAGCACTCTGGTCTCGGGTATGTCTTGGTCTTGACACTAGTTTATGGAGTTTAACATGGATTGCATTTGTGAAACTTGTGTTTGCATGCTTCACTTGAGTTTCTAGAGAAGATGCAAAAGTCTCACATCAACCGATGAGTTTTATTTTTCCTCTGCTTTCTCCTACATCTGTTGTTTTCAGCAGTCTGACTCTCAGGTGAGGATCCGCTTCCCTGAGCCGAGTCTGACTCTGCCAAGAGCTTCTCTCTGAAGGTACTGAAAGAAAGAGACGGAGGAAAGAAAGGCAGGAGGGAGAGTGTATGTAGGGTTTCTGCAGAGCCTCCAGTGATTCTGTGACCCAGCACTGAGAGAGAGAGAGAGAGAGAGAGAGAGGGGGAGAGAGGGGGGGGGGGGGAGAGAGAGAAAGGAGGCTGGGATAAAGGGTCAGTCCAGGGATTGTACTCGAAAGGAGAGGAACTACTTCTGTAACTGTGTGTTTGAGTCATGTCGAGTGTGTGGTGTTTATTTTCACACCAAAAGGACGTAGGAATAACCTCGGCCATGAGCCGGACCACCTTCTTTGAGGTAAGTTGAAATGTACCAGTATGAAGTTATCTGCTGCAGAGCGGCTCTGAGTTGAGTTTTAATGCAACTTTTTGAGTTTAAAGTTTAAGATTTGTTTGTTTCACGAGGCCTCACTAGAACAAGAGAATAACTTTGAGCATCAATATGGCTGAATTAATCATTTCTACTTAGTTGTTTAAACCGTTTTTTCCTCTCTGAAACTTCTTTAGAAACTTTGTTTTAAAAAGAAACTTGCTGTCAGTAAACCTCATGAGTCTGCACGTCGCTCCGATATCATTCCCAACTGAAATAAAAATGTATTTTTAAAGCAGGAAAGGGAGTTTATGTCAACATGTTGAAGCTCATCTCATCAGAAAAGAAGGAACACAAATGCACAGATTGTGAAGAACTTAAATCAAGCTTTTTTTAAATTAAGAGAGTCTGATGTTTGAGGGATTTAACGCAGCTGATTCATTCAGAAGAAAAAAATAAGACTTCCTGAATTTTAAAATAAAAGGCGTTCTTCTGAAGTGTCAGCAGGGTTTATGAAGTCCAAGTTTCAGAGTCAGAATAAAGCAAACGGAGTTCTTTCATGATCTTCCTCTTTGCCTCCTCAGTCTCGTCTCCCTGGATCTGCTGAGCTTTAATGAAGAGGCAGACGAGTCATTCTGTGTGAGTGCAGCAGGCCTCTGAACTGAGGATAATTTACAACACGCTTTGGGACGTGAGCCACGCTCTCACTATCTGTTACAAACAGGCTGCAGGCAGAATAAGCTAATATTTAGCTGATCCGAGGGAAAGATGTACAATCAATTACTTAATTAAGAAGAGAAAACTGAGACTAATATGTCTCTAGATATGACGCAACAGCCAGCAGCTGGTTAGCTTCCCTTAGCATAATGAATGGAAACAGTGGGGGACAGCTAGCCTGATTTTGGCTAAAGCTAACTAAATGCTCTGACCTTAGTGGAGTTTCTTTTCTAGGTTTGATCTGAAGCTTACAGACACTTTTTTCTGTAACTTCATGTTTTCTTGATGCTGGTAGATAATCTTTCTCTTCAGGAGGAGCCACACTAGCTATTTTCAAAGGAAGCCCATGTTTCCAAGAGTCTGGCAGCGGAGCGGGGGGCATGTCGGTCCGGCGCTGAATGGTGCTGATGTGATTTGTTGCTCTCAAGTCACAAGCAATGTTTGGTTGAGAACACATTAAAAATATATAATGATCATATATTTGGCCTTTTCTGTAATTATTGATCGTACATCATACAAATGGTAAAATCAGTGTGATGCGAGGTTAAGAGTTGATCTTTTTCAGACCTGAAACTTAAATAAATGTACAACCAAAATGTTTGAGAGTAAAGAACGAAAGGGTCCATTGTGAATTTGGACAGCTCAGTGATTTGTTGATCAAGTTTGAATCAGTGTGGAGCAAAAAGGACAAAGGCCAAAGTTTGGCAGCCACGTGCAGCTAATCAGCTTCAACATGATCCTGCTCAGTATTTCAGCTACTGATCCTGAGGTTCAATATCAGCCATGACGCTCATCAGAGGAGCCGTCCTCACTAATACGTTGACGTTGTCAGCAATGTTTATAAAAACAGAAGAAAGGTTCATTTTTAAAACTATTTAAATTCCTCTCACACACACTGAAGCCCTGTGAAGCATGCCGACGCATGTTCAGTACGACCCGTGCTGTCAGCAGAGCGCCGTATTCCCCCGAGAGGAGCCGAGTGTCTGACAATCAGATTCACAAGGACACAAGTCAGCGCTCACCGCCTTACAACACACGGCCCTAATGACACCCTCAGTGCTCTGAGCGAACACGCAGACGCATCAACATGTGCCCCGAGAATACAGAGGGGAAGGTTAGCAGATGGAAGCAAAACAAACCAATCTCCCAGGGTGCACTGCACTGAGATGTTGCCGTGCACAGCGCTCACATCCTGCAGAGAATGAACACAAACTGTGAAGTATTCAGGTTTTATAACGGGTGTTCTCAAAGGTGTGACATCTTAAAATCTAGATTTCATGAACTTCAGAGGAGGGTTGATCGTTTGCAGAGAAAAAGAAGGTGGAGATAAAAACCGAACTGATGAAGGTGAAGGGGCTTCTGACAAAAACTGAGGAAGAATTTAAGTTTCAACCAGATGAAATAAACTTGAGTTTGACAACAAAACAGCACAGGGCCTCGTCTCCCTCTCTATCTCTCCCTCCCTCCCTCCCTCCCTCCCTCCAGCTCTCTCTCCCTCTCTCCCTCCCTCAATCTCTCTCTACATCTCTCCCCACCCCCCTCTCTCTCTCTCCCTCTCTGTTGTGCACTCAGCAGATCTTCACGTATCCATTAGCCGGTTATTACACCGTCCAGTAAGGGAACCAATTTAGCGAGGACAGCTCTGCTGAGCAGCACAGTACAGAGTGCTTTCAGGGCAAATTGTGGGGCGCCACCCACCGTCCTGCTCGCATATGCCGTACATCACCGCTGACACAGTCTAATTAAAATGAAGAAGACAACACTGCTCCGACCTATCACACTCAACCAGAGTCAGAACGAGATCACTGGATTTGTTCAGGAGAAAAGGAAACACAAACACCGACCAAAGCGTCCACTGTGACTAAAGTTATACAGTCATTTTTATTTATTCAATAAGTATGATGATAGAGAAGGGTTTTGTTTCCTTCTCAGTCGTCCTTATTTGTTCCAAGAGCACATTTTTTTGTGAAACTCATTTGATTATTTTTGTAAGAAGTATGTGCATTTGACATTTCTTACTGAATAAATCCACTGAGTGTCAAAAAGCACATGGACGACTGAGAAACAAAACAAAGACTTCAGAAATGAGGAGAGCTGAGGCAGTACTCGAAGCAAGACTAAAGGAAAATTGGGTCTGTTGAGCCGAAGGTAGTGTTTATAGGGTCATGAACGTGGCCTGGATTCAGTTATAAGTTAAGTTAAAATCTCTATTTCTTTTTCTTTCTTTTAAGATAATGTTTGGGCCTTTTGTCTTCATTACAAAGGACAGCTGACGAGAGACTGGAAATGTGTGAGAGAGTGGGGGGACGACATGTGTTGCACCCTTGAAATGAACTGGTCAGAACTCGTCCATCTTCACTTTTAGCAACTTTTATTAAAGAAAAATGCCCACAGCTTTACTCACGCTTAGTTTTCAGCCTTCACACACCTCTGTGTCTTCTTCACTGCGGCGCCTCCCTTAAAGGGCCAGTGTCTTAATCTTAAAAGGTAGATAACACACACAGTATGTACTGTTTACTCTTAGAAATATAAATTAACTTAAATACTTCTGGAAATTAAATTAGTTTAACTAGAAACACTGATATAACAAAATGAGCGTGTTTCAGTGTGTTACACATGCAGCAAAGGGCCGAGGTCAGATTCAAATTCAAGGCCGCTGCGATGGGGACTTCTATACACGGGGCATAACACCCCTCCACTCCTTCATTTAGTATCACATGTCGATGTTCTCTGTGAGTAGTTTTAAAGTCTTGAAGACTCCAGCCTTCAGATTATGAAACGTTAAATGTTCTTACTGCTGACGCTGATCCAGATTTTTTACTGCTTGGGGTTTTGTTGCTGACATTGCATGTAGACGTAGAGTCCTTAGTTTGGAGATGAATTTGAGGCATGAATAAAAATCTCTTCCAATCATTTAAAGAAACATTTAAAGAAAGGTATCACCCGGTGTTTCTGTCTCCTTCAGGTGAAGATCCTGGATGCAAAGACCAAAGAGCAACTCTGTTTTTTAGATAAGGTGAGCCGTCTTCCAGAGTCGAAGCAGATAAGCTAATCTAGAAGATATTCTAGATTAGCTTTTTAATGTCCACGCCATCAAAGCGAATCCACATGACATGATGTAACACACATTTTCCTAAGTCAGACGAGAATATTTTGTGTCTTCAGAATCTTTATGTTTTTGTAAAAAGAGTTTAAAGAACTTGTTCAACAAAAGAAGAGGATTTAAACCTCTGCATGCGTGTTCAGTCTGAGTTTGTAATAACTCAGAGCTTCACTTCATATCATCCCTGATATCACATCCAGGTTCAGTTCTTTGTGTTTCATTCAGGTGGAGCCGTACTCAACGACAGGAGACATCAAGATCCTTTTTCATAAATTATGTGAGTGTGGAGCTGCAGAGAGAGGACGCTTTAATGGCACCGTTTCAAACTGTGCAGAATCGTTGGATGTCTGCTCCTTGTTACTTTACAATGCATTAAACATCTTTCACACGTTATTTTGGGGTCTGAATCTGTGTGTACTACCTTCTCTGTCCATCCCTGTGTTTGTGTCCAGATCCTCAGTGGTATCCAGCACGACAGGCACTAAAGCTTGATCCCAGTAAGTAACCATATTGTCATTATTTGTTGTGTGTCCCCTCCTCCTGGGCTCATCTCCCCCAGAAACTCACCCTCACTGCAGGATGTAGTGTGTACGTTTACTGCTTGTAGATACACTGCAAGCTAACGCACGCTAGCACAAGCCCACCGCCGGTGTTTGTCACCTGCCTGTCCAACAGGAAGTAGACCAACTTCTCGTCCACGGGTAAAAGACAACACAAGGTTCACCCTCATTTTAGAATGAGCTTTATCCACTTGGTGTATCCACTCCTAAAATCACCTGCTGCGCTGTCATTGGCTGGAGGAAACACACCAGCTCCCCACAAACACACCCTAAAGAACATGAGACAGACCACACATACTGTACGATGTTACAGGGCGTTTCCTATGACCTTGGACTATGAGGGCTTTTACTGAAAAGCAGAGCAGTGGCTGGTTTAAAGCTAAGTGGGCCAGTTCCCCTGGAGGATGTGCTAAAAGTGTCATCTAATTAGTTCAACACATTAACTCTGTGTAAGCCCACCTGAGCCGCCAGGTAGAGAGGACGAGTGCTGAAACACCGATCAGATGCTCAATCCAAAATCTAAGACATCACTTTGCTTGGATTTAAAAAGGAGTCTTGTCTTGTTTTATGTCTCTTTAAATCAGTTTCAGCTGATTTTTTGAACATCATCTTCTCTTCTTTCAGAGGAAAAATCCCTCAGAGATGATGAAGTCTTACAGAACCTTCCTGTCGGGACGTCTGCTACCTTTTACTTCAGAGATCTCGGCCCACAGTTTGGCTGGACGATGGTGAGAATATAAACGATATGCCAACAAGGGGAGAGGAACTTTTCACTGAGAGGAACTTTGTAGTTTCTCCTCATAGAATGTGTGTTTGTTTTCTTTCAACTTTTGCACGTCTTCTTCTGTTTGTTTGCACATTTTGTGATAATGTTCATGAACCCATTCAAACATGAGAAAGCATGGAGCCTTCTTCGTCTGCTCCTTTTCACCCCCCCATTCTTTTTGTGTGCAGGTGTTTCTTGCAGAGTGCGTCGGAGCCCTTCTCACTTACCTCCTCTTCTATTTCCGAGTGCCGTATATTTACTCACACAGATTCGTCTCGACCTCCAGCCCTCATCCTGTTGTGACGTGAGTGGAGAATTAAAAACTCAAAGTTACAGGAGCTTTGGAAATGTAACTGTAGGCACGAGGCAGATTTATTTGAGTTTTGAGACAGCTCTATATGATGTTTATAATTTAGACTGCAGTACCCATTTTAACCACTAGGTGAGTTCCATATTGCTCCATTAAAGGTCCTATATTATGCTTTTTCTGGTTTTATATGCCCTTTAGTGTGTTTTCCAAGTGTCCTGTGCATGTTTAGGCACATCTAGTTGCAAAAATTCAAAGTCCGCAGAAACGCGGCTTCTCCTACGTCCTCCTGTTAGCTGTAGCATTAGCTGCATGTAATGCTCAGTTCTAGCCCCCCTGGATTAAAATTGGTCAGTCCGACGTCAGTGTGATATCACTGATCTAAGTCCATTGGCTCGTTGTGGCAAGCCCAGCAGCTCATGTTGCAGGCCCATTAACTTCTGTAGAACGCCCACGATATGCTGTAGCCTGCGGTAGCACAGTAGTGCTAAGGTGCTAATGTTTATGCTCCTCTCGGACTGAGCCAGTGGCTGCATTCCCAATATGGTAAAAGAGGCGGGACATTTCCGAGAACCGTGCTGAGCAACTGACCAATAATGACAGAGCGGATCGGCAGACCAATCAGAGCAGACTTGGCCCACGTGGGGTCTAACAGTGTGGGCTCAGCAGAGTGTAGCTGACAGACTCAGAGCGTAGAGGGAGCAAGGAGGAGCAGTACATGAAAACAGACACTTTTTTCTATTTTGCTATTGTGAACATACAAAATTAAGTACATAGATTAAATATACGAACCCCAAAAAGGGCATAATATGTTTTCCTTTTATTTACAGCACTTTGTTGCTCAATCACACAAGTCATGTTGCTGCAGGGACCCAATTCTGCATGGGGATCGTTTCAGTTTAATCTCTGTCTGTATGAAAATAAATGTTTTTTTCAGATAGAGTTTCATTCCATAAAAAGACAGTAATAGGTTTAGTTAAAAGCACACATTTTATCCCTTTGACCTTGTCCCTGCTCTGTGTCTGTCAGGCTCGCCTGTGCCTGTCATTCCTTCCACTACGGGAAGAGGTTGATAGAGACGATCTTCGTGCATCGTTTCTCCCACGGGACCATGCCTCTCAGAACCATAATCAGGGTGAGGACGCCACAACCCTGAAAACATGCTCACCCTTTATTTTACCATCAGCTGTTGTGTAAACATTTCAGCTTTTGGACTTTTACTGATACAGAAACCTGCAAACAGTCTCAGAGCGCAGACCCAGAAACGTGCTCAAACTAGGATCAATATTGCAGATGCTTTTGAAAAATGGAGAGAGGTTAGAACACAGAAAGGTTTACGGACCCATGCAGAGCTGGATAAACACTGAAGCTTCAGAGTCCACCACATGGTGACCTGTGTGAGCATGGACTCTAGAGGGGAGGGGGCGCACAGTGTACACTGTCTAAGCGTTCTGTTTATTTAAACATCTGTATTTTTGTGTCCTCTCAGAATTGTGCCTATTACTGGGGTTTCTCAGCTTGGTTGGCCTACTACATCAACCATCCACTTTACACACCTCCGTGTAAGTCAGCACACACACACACACACACACACACACACACACACACACACACACACACACACACACACACACACACACACACACACACACACACACACACACACACACACACACACACACACACACACACACACACACACACACACACACACAGTCTCTACAGTCTCTATTTCTGCAGTATCCTAACTTCGGTGAATCTCTCTCTGCAGCATACGGAGATCTCCAGGTCCACTATGCGTTAGTCTTATTTGCGGTATGTATCTCGACATGTGCACGGTGCAGACACAAACAGTTTGATCAGTAAATGTTGAGGGAAGTGATTTCTCCTGTTGCAGATGTGTGAAATTGGAAACTTCTCCATTCACTTGACTCTTAATAATCTGAAAGGGGACGGTGAGTTGTTCAGTTTTTACTGTTTTATACTGTTAGAGTGTACGAACTTTCAGCAGAAACAAAACATTATAAATATAAAATCTTACCTTCTTTAACGTGAGCTCCTGAAATAAGAACTGTTCTGTTAATTAAATAGCTCTTAAAGTCCACTGTGGGAGTGGGTCCTCTTCCAGAGTCAGCCATGTTGCACTGCCATGATTCTACGGCAGCCCAGGGAGGACAAACATAGCAGTGAGTCAGAGAGGGGTTCTAGCGCCCTCTGCAGGTTCTCCTTATCTCTGAGCAGTCTTAAGCAGTTTGTTGCCAATTGCAATCTCGCCACTAGATGGCGCTAAATCCTTCACACTGCACCTTTATAGGAGGAATGCGTCAACTTTTCAAGACTTGAAACCTTTTAGGTTCTGTCCTTAATTTATCATTTCTTAGCATGCATCAAATATCTGATCTGTTCCTCAGGGTCCAGAGGCCGAAGATTTCCTGTGCCAACAAAGAACCCGTTCACGTGGCTGTTTTACTTTGTGTCCTGTCCAAACTACACATACGAGGTAACTCAAACCATTAATTCAGCATGGCGTTGAGTGGCCACTGTAAGTGTCACCTAAGCTCGTGTGTGATCTTCTGTCTGACTGCACTGCAGGTTGGATCCTGGGTGAGCTTTTCCATCATGACCCAGTGTCTTCCAGGTGTGTGTGCTGGTTGTTGTTTTTTTTTAACATTTATCTACATAAAGGCACTAAAACCTTCTGATGTGTGTGTGTTGTGTTTCAGTGGCCTTGTACACATCACTGGGCTTCCTTCAGATGACCATCTGGGCCAAAGGGAAGCACAGAGCCTACAGCCGAGAGTTCAAGGACTATCCCGCCAACCGCACCGCCATTATCCCCCTCGTTCTCTAACAGTGAACTCTACATGAACTGAACA